TATTACTACAAAGTGTTGGAGTATCCTACTGATTTTTCAACGTTTTATTTTGACTTCTGTAATTTTGTTACGCAACAAGATGTTGATAATATAAGCAAATGGTTATGTTTTTAATTTTATTTTCAAATATATAGACATACGTGTGGTTATGTTTTACTTTAGTTCTCTACGTGTTATGTTATTAACGTATATCCCATCGTTTAATATAAATATTAATATGTATCTCTTACCCGTGCATCGCACGAGATTCGTACTAGTTTTATTCCTAGTATATGTACAATTCAATACTTTGGAAAATCAATTCTATGTTATGCGTAGTATATTAAAATAAAAATATGTTACTTTTAAAAATTTATGAACATTTTATTCCTAGTATATGTACGATCTCAATACTTCTGATTATCAATTCTGACCATCAATCCTATGCTATGCCTAGTATATGTTTGGTTTCAATTATATTAATTAGTATATAGTCCCTTGTTGTTTTATATTATAAGATTTATGAACAATTGATATTCCCGCAACCATAGTAACTTGGAGGTGTAAAACACAAGCTCACTGATAATTATTGCAAGCGTACCTCATAATGCAATTCGATGTTACACAGAACAATTAATACATACTTTTGTGCATATAAATAATTATATGTTTTAAGTTCTTTTAAACGTACCTCATAATGCAATTCGATGTTACACAGAACAATTAATACATACTTTTGTGCATATAAATAATTATATGTTTTAAGTTCTTTTAAACGTAAGCAAGGGATGCATACTATCTCAAAGAAAGGGGAAAAAAATGGGAAACGAGCAAAACGACTTATTGAATAGATTATCACATCACATGTAGCTAAGTTGGTAAATGAACAAAACCTTAACAATCTGAGCACATTTTTTTTTCATTCCCTTCTTATTTATTTATTTATTTATTTGTAGCTTTTTTCGTCTTAAGTAACCACAATTTACATTCCTGGCATTACATATTATTTCACGTCTCAATCTAATTTTAGGAAAATTATGTATATAGTGTTCTTATTGTTTGGTTTAATTTAGAAATCAGAAGAAAAAAAGAACTTTATTTTACAATGCAGTATTTTTAAGGATAACAATCAAGACCTCAATGACAGAGCCGGCCCTGGCCCAAGGCGACCTGGGCGACGGCCCAGGGCCCAGGACAGGGACTAATCTGAAGGGGGCACCATTCAAAGAAGCCTTTCTTTTGCCTGATCAATAATGCAAATAATAAGGAATTGAGAATTTTGGAGGATGTATATTTTATGTGAGTGTGTTATGGATAAGAAATCGATTTGAAAAATGAGAAATAATTGGGATATGTGGTCTGTAATTTTGAGAAGGAAGAATGAAGAAGGAAGAAGGACGAAGGAAGAAGATAGAGAAAAGAAACAGAGAAGTTTGACCAAAAAATGGGAGAGAGAAAGGGAGAGAGAAAAAAGGGAAAAAAAAAGGAAAAGTAAAAGGAAAAATACCTTTTTAAAACTGATGTTTGTTTCAATAGCATTATTAGGTAAATATGGAATAATTAAAATGCTATTACAATAGATCCGTTTTCAACAAATATTAATTGCAAAAAAAGTTAAATGCACAAACTTTCTTAAATTTTATATCAGAACCTACCAACCCATTTAATTCTTTTCTTTTTTGGTGTATCTTTGTAGTTTATGTATTATAAATTATAATCACTATTTATTTTAAAAAAATTACATCTCATTGAATAAAAAATCATTTAATTAAGCAACAAAGCATAAAATAATAAAAGTTATTATTGAATATATTAAAATAAAGGAGAATTAATTTTCTCCACAAAATTATAAGGATTTATATAAATATAATATTCAACTTACACATAATTATATGATTTGTAAATAATGGTGTTCGTACTTACTTATGATTTATGTTTGTATAAATTTTCTTAAAATTTATTTATTCAGTTTATTACTTTATTAGCTTATTGAATTGAAATAAACAAAAATGAGGGACAAATTTTTTTATTAATTCATGCAAAGTTACTAATGTATGGGATGTAATTGTTAAAATCACATAAATTTCATCGTAATGAACGAAAAAGGAGGGGCATATTCTTACATTTTGCCCCGGGCCTAATAAAGGCTAGGACCGGCTCTGCTCAATGATTTTGATACTTAACAAATTCCAGGGTGAAATTTGTAAAATAGAAAGAAACACATATGTTACTCAATTTGCATAAAGTAGATATAGTTCTTCAAGAGTATTATTTGGAACAAAAAAACCTTACAGGATTTATTTGTGAATTCTATTGGAAAACCATGTTCCAAAATATTTCTCAGTTTTCTTCAATTTGTTAGTATCTACAGGCTTATATGAGTTATATGACATTTAACAGGTACATCATGTTCTGTAGGAGGATTTCAGTGATAGACTCAGCTAAACGAATTTGAATTTTAAATACTACAAACTCTTAACATTGTCGACAACCCAAAACCTCATTTACATGACACGATGTTGAGCTGCATTCAAACCCTTGAGATGACAGAAAAAAAAAAGTCACAAACGGTCAAAATTGCACGACGACCCAGAAAAAGCCATGAACTCCCAAAGGCAGATCAACCAGATTAGGGCTTACTCAGCTTAGCATCCAAGGAAGAAATTAGACAGCTTCTCATCAGACAAGAGCCCGCTCGCCACCTTGAAAGATCTTGGTTATGAACCAGCCATTTGTCCGCCTAAAGTTTTCATCCACAAAATAGGAGTAGAACGCTCGATAAATGTCTGCCTTTCTACCCCTTTTACCGGGTAGGAGTGGAGCTAGGGTAGAAGGTGGCTTTTTGTAGAGTGAAAAACTCTAACTGTGGTCAAGACCAGAACCAGACAGTAGAGTGTCACAGGGCTGCCAATAGACTTCGCTTAGCTACTTACAAGGGAAAGACGTCGATTCTCGACACACGGCTTCTTCTCTTAGTCCACTTTTTATCAATCAGTTCAGTCAGTTGTTGTCCAATAAGTTCTCACTAAACGATCTTCGAGACTTACATTATTTTCTCCGTCTTGAAGTGATTCCTACAGCAGGTGGTCTATTTCTTACTCAACATAAAGACATTCGTGAGATTTTTTAATCTATTGGTATGGCTGGAGCCAAGGAAGTTTATACGCCCAACTCTGTCCTGAATTTGATGATTCTCCCTCGGCTGATGCTAGTTTATTTTGGCGGGTCATTGGACAGTTATAATATTTGGCTTTCTCAAGATCCGCTCCCTTCCCTGAATCGAGTTTATTCTACGATGATTCAAGAGGAGCGCATGCGTACTATCTCGACTGACGAACAGCCACTGCCGACGAGTTCCTTCGCCGGGCTGCAGGTGGCCGCGAGCGGGCTTCATCTTTCTGCTGCAGCACTGCCAAAGGGGGGTGCCGGTTCTGCTACTATGCCTGGGAGCACCAGCGTTTCGGGGCAGCGGGCCAGTGGCCGCCCCAAGTGCTCTCATTGTGGGCGTATGGGTCACCTCGTCGCGACATGTTACGAGATCATTGACCTGTGACAGTCAGAGCGCTATTCAGGCCGTTACTCGTCACCCTGAGGGTAGGACGATATCTTGGTCCCGCTTCGTCATCAGATGAGAAAGAAAAAGGAATATCGAAAATTCGAGTGGCTGGCCCCAAAACCAAAAATTCCGAGCACCGGCATTAATCTTTCGTGCAAAGGCCAATGGAGTTCTTAAACGAAGCGAAGTGAAGTCACCGACGGGAGAGGGAAAGGCGATGCAAGAGGACGTTAAGAGGCTTCAAAGGCAGACTGGACAGGAAGTCGAGCTAGCATATTGAAAGCTAAATTGCCAAGTGGATCTATCTTTCTATTCGTAACAAGCACATAAGCAGGAAAGCTAGCAACCCCGATTAGGCTCCTCTAAAAGGGCTTCAGTTTCCGCGTTTAGACCGATCGATTGGGCTAGTGGCTGCTGAATAACTAGCTGAATAAAGAATCTAGAAGAAGAGAAGGAGTAAGACTCCCCAGTTTGGGTCGGAGTAAGCTTGTGAAAGAGTAGGACTTTCAATCCTGCACTTCTATACATGCGTGTGTAATACCGCATTAGGGATTTGGGTACATGGGTCGCTGAGCAAGATAGGTGATTAAGTTCAAAAGCATGACCTAAAAGAACTCTTTTAAGCTGCCTAAGTTTAGTAAAACCCAACAAACTTTTCGAAGCGAAGTGAAGTCAGATTTCGAGAAAAATCGCTAAAAAGAGAAAATCAGATATCCTATGTAATAAGACTAGCAGGGTTCTGGTAATCAAGCTGTTACCGAGGAACGAAGTTACTTGACTGATAACGAGAGGTACGAAGTTACTCGACTGAAAGGAAAGGCACTTGGAATATTCCCCGAGGTCCGAAACTAACCGCTTTGGGCAAGGGAGTTGGTTTTACAAGTCTGGTCGAGAAATATCGTAAAATACAGCTCTGAAGCAGAGTATCATATCAAGCTTGGGATCCTGGGCTGAACTCAAACAAAAGGGATAAACCCTCGACGCCGACAACTGAGGAGAAATCTTTCGACTTCAGAACAGAAATAGAAGGAGAAATCTCAGCTTTAGCCCGAACTCGGTAAACTCAATCCAGGGGCGACGTCGCGTAATATAATAAAGTGATGATCTTTTTCTGCCATTTATCCCTCGGGCTGGCGTTGGCCATATTTCAACAAGTAAGCCGTAACAGGGCTAAACCTATCTTGAAGGCGGGCAGTTGAGGGAACGGACGAAGCGAAGTTCAGTCATAGAGGAAGTTTGATTCGATCGTGACACCGGCGAATTTGGAGTTGGTTAGTATGGCTGTCAGTTTTATGAAGCCGCACTTTAAACCTTTACTATATCAAATAGCAGGAAAGTTTCAAGCTTTAACAAAGCAAACCAAATGGCCGGTGCTCAACCAACCAAACAAAACCTCATACATGACTTCACAATGAAAAATCGACAAAAGAGCAGCAATTAGTAACGTATCGAGGAAATTAAAGGAACTGAGGGAACTGGAAGCAGAATCAACAAATAATTGAAATCTCGCAATTCAAGGAAGTCAAGATAAACAAGCTAACAAGAACAAACCATGTCTGCAATAAGCGTCTTCACAACACAGTGCAAACATAATTAAGAAAATTAAGACTAAAATTATATAATAATTCTTTGACATCGTTGAAGTCGCCCGTTTGAAATCCCTACATCAGACTACAATGAAAAAGCACTTAAGAGAAACAATCAAGCTAAAATTGCAGGAAAATATGGCAAACATCAACACAGAAGTGCCAGTCACAAATGGGGAGTTTGTAAAGGGAAATTCGAGCACCTAACACACACTACGGCAGCCATCCAACTTCAGCTTCAGTTATATTCAATGTCAACCAAAGAAAGGGATTTAATGAAGAAGGATCTATACTGGATAGTCATTTTTCAACACAAAGTATGGAACTTAATGTGTACAAAAGTCAAAACAGCGAAAAAAAGAAGAAGAAAAAAAGAGAGAAAAACTAAGCTACAAATTGAACACACAGCAAGACACTTAATAAGATTAGCACCACCATCATCCTAGTTCTCAGCTTAGATTGGTCAAGCCCGAGATATGGTTGTAAGTGTTTTACTTAATATATATTCACAACAAAACATTACCTCTACTTCCTAATTCTTTCACTTCTTCTTAAGCCACTTCCTACTCCTTGAGAAGGCTGTTTCCCACTTCTTGAGCTACTTCCTACTCCTTGCGAAGCCATCTGGGTATATTCGTCAAGCTTCAGGTTCATTTGAATTGTCGACTCAAGAAGTTGGGTCGTGACCTCCTGAAGTTGGGCCGTGCTCTCCTGAAATTGGGTCAAGCTATTGCCGAAATTTTGAAGTAGGGTCTGAGTTCGGATCTCGCCATATAGGATCCTTTGAACTTGCGTCTGAAGTCGGTCCAGGCTATCTAGGAGGGGATCTTGATTGGGCTCTGTAGAGTCTCCGAGTTCGAGTGAGAGTGCGAGTGCGTGCAGATCAGCCATGGGAGGATTTGGGGAGTGATGGTGGCTAGGGCTAGAGTTGGAATGATCGATTCGATCGATCTGTCTGTGTGATTGGAGAGTGCGAGACAGACGAGTAAACCATTTTTTTCTGAATGGGCTGCTGGGCCATATAATTTGGGCTGCAAATAGCCAATTTGTAAAAGGGAAATATCCATGTATACTCACATATTTTTAAATAATTACAATATTATCATCATACCAATTAAATTGTATATATAAGATAAATATTAATTATAATAATGCCTAAAATCAATTACAATTACAAGTAAGTGGAACAACCAACTCTAGCCCTAGCCACCATCACTCCCCAAATCCTCCCATGGCTGATCTTCCCGCACTCGGAGATTATAAGGTGCCCAATATCCATTTGACCGGAATTAACGTGGAAGCCATCAATGACGGAGATATCCCAACCGACCAGCAGATCGTTTCGGAGGCTCACCGTAGAAGGATGTTCAAGCGGTCGCGTCAGTTGATTCCAAATCTAAACGCCGCTGATTCTGCAGGAGCCGAGCTCCGGTACCATATGGTTCTAACGAGGAGAGCAAATGCGGAGATGCAGGGGGCTCCACTTCACCCCAAACTCCTATCGATACTTCAAAATCTCCTAGATGGCCAGGCCCAACTTCAGACCCAACTTCAAAATCTCCAGACCCAACTTCAGGAGGGCATGACCAAACTTCAGACCCAACTTCAGGAGGGCACCCAATTTCAAGAGGGGTCTTTTCAAGAAGTAGGAAGTAACTCAAGAAGTAGGAAAAGAAGTAAGAGGAAGTAGAGGTAATATTACGAGATATTTTGTTTGTGTTGTTAAATGCCTATATATTAAGTAAACCACCTACACAGAACTAGGATTATGGTGGTGGTAATCATATCATGTGGAATGTCAGACTGAATGTCTTGCTGTGTGTTCAACCTGTACCTTAGTTTTTTTTTTTTTTGGCTATTTTGATTTTTGTACACATTAAGTTCCATACCTTGTGTTGAAAAATGACTACTCAGTATAGATCCTTCTTCATTAGATCCCTTGCTCTGGTTGATATTCAATATAGCTGAAGTTGGATGGCTGCCGTAGTGTTGGTTAGGTGCTCAAATTTCCCTTTACAAACTCCCCATTTGTGACTGCACTTATGTGTTGATGTTTGCCATATGCTCCTGCAATTTTAGCTTGATTGTTTCTCTTAAGTGCTTTTTATTTTGTGCTTCTTGCAGGGCTTTCAAACAGGCGACTTCAACTATGTCCAAGAATTCTTATATAATTTTAGTCTTAATTTTCTTAGTTTGACCTATAAGTGTCGTAGCTTTTGAGTAGTTGAACCTTTAGGAGAATTGAAAATGTTGCATCATGTGGTGCAAAGCAACAATCTATTTTAATATGTCGAGGCCTTTGCTTATGGTGGACAAGGTTTATCCATTATCCTTGTTAGCTTGTTTATCGTGACTTCCTTGAATTGTGGGGTTTCAATTATTTGTTGATTCTCTTCTCAGTAAAAGCTAGGTCCCTTAGTTCCTTTAATTTTCTTGATACATTACTAATTGCTGCTCTTTTGTCGATTCTTTCATCGTGAAGTCATGTATTTGAGGTTTTGTTTGGTTGGTTGAACACCGGCCATTTGGTTTGTTAAAGTTTGAAACTTTCCTGCTATTTGATATCTAATTTCTTCCTTAGATGCTAAGCTATGTAAGCCCTAATCTGGTTGATCTACCTTGGGAGCTCATGGGTTTTTCTGGGTAGTCGTGCAATTTTGGCCGTTTGGTATTAGCCCTAAGTGTCCTGGTAATTTATCGAACTTTTCTTTTTTACACAAATATTTTTTTCCCCCTTCTTTTTAATTTGTGAAATGAAGTTTTTCTTTGATTTTATTTTAACTAGCTCTGGTACTGCACTTTACCAATACAATATATGGACCCATCGACTAGACCTCCGGTTTAATTTATTTATTTTTAAATTAATTATGTGACCACAATCTAATCACGTGTAAATTGTAATTTGCAAGTTATATCATATTAAATTTGTTTAATAATTCTAGAAGCTTATTTATAAAAAAAAAATCATTGAAAAATAAGTTTTCCCAACATGAATTTTATTGGGCTTTAATTTTATTTATTTATTTTATAATAACCCTAGCTAAATAAGTGCATTTTAAATTTGGAGTCCCAAATTTAGGCAACCCAAAAGAATGCAAATTTGATATTTCTATGGTCAATTCATATGATGCTTTTCAGATGTTCAATATGTAATTGTAATATGGTATATGACATATCCAATGACTTTCAGTAGGGTCTTGTAAATCAATATTATATGCATCAAATCAAGTTCAGTGATATGTAATGATCTAATAAAAAATGTGTTTCTTTGACTCAGTTTTGGGTTGTCGACAAAGTTAAGAGTTTGTAGTATTTAAAATTCAAATTCTTTTAGCTGAGTCTATCACTGAAATCCTACTAAAGAACATGATGTACCTGTTAAATGTCATATAACTCATATAAGCCTGTAGATACTAACAAATTGAAGAAAATTGAGAAATATTTTGGAACATGGTTTTCCAATAGAATTCACATTTTAGGGTTACGATTATGTCCAACAAGCGAAAGTTCATTGCATGAAAGAGAACTTTAAGTTCTGCACTTTACATTTGTACGCAAGCCATAATATTTTGATTTTCTGATTCAGTGGATTTCCTTCTGTGGGCCGATTATGGCAAAGCTAAACTGGTAAAACTCCACAGGGCAAGATTCGACCGGTTTGCCTCATTGACTAGTAATAAATGAATACTTCTATATTTTCTAAAAAAACTTGAATAAAGTCATGTACATGATACTTGTTTAGTAATTAGTTGTTAGTTGTTGAAACTTGAATAAAGTCATGTACATGATACTTGTTTAGTAATTAGTTGTTAGTTGTTGTTAGCAGATAACAATTTGTATTAGTTATTTGACCAACGGTTAGTATTAATTGTTTTAACGAGCTCTTAGCATTAGCAGTTTGTAAAATTATATTTGGTAGAAAAAGCTGATTGATTTGGAAAAATATATTTGATATTATTAACTTGAATATCAGTTTTATGTAGGTGTTTATAAAGTAATACACTATTATTTATATAATGATTTTATATTATCATAAAGTAAGTATGATAATATATTTAAATTAGGTTTTCATAAGTATCGATATTTATGTAAAAAATTAAAGAGAATATAAGTTAAAATAATAAGTGAGTTAATATAAATAATTTCTAAATATTAAAGCTCTTTTATAAAAAAGATACACAATTTAAATGATACTCATTTTTTAAATAAAATAAATAAATGAATGAATTTAGACCAAACAAATAAATCTTATCAGCCTCATTTTAATTCAGTCCATAAATATTCATTTATATGAAATAACAAAACACCAATCAAAACGCTTCAATTCAAAAATACCAACTAACCAAACAAAATATCTCCCTTTTCTGTCTCTCATCTTGTGTAGGTTGGAGGTCGACCGCTTGACCTCTCGTTCGTCAGGTCCCTTTAGGTAGGCAGCTCTCGGCCCGAGTGCTTGAGGTTGGTTTCTTCCGACACAGCTCTTTGAGCCCAGCCTCTTCAGGCCTCTAAGAAAAAAAAGAAAAAGGAAAACCTCTTCAGGCCTCTTCTTCCCCCATTTGGCATCTTAGAGAGCACAGATTTGGACTGAGGTGCTTTCTAGCCGATGTTTCAATTGGAGTTTTGTGTGCAGGGGTCGATTTCTGTAGGTTTTGTGGCGTTGCTCGTGGGGTTTGGTTTTGTTGTGGGTTTGGCTTGTGTATTAGGCTGGGATTTTGTTGCAAATTTTTCGCGTGAATTGGGGGAGGTAGTATTTTTAGTTAATTTAGGTGTGTTTTGTTAGTTTTTGTGTTATTCTTCTTTGTTGGACTTGGCTATTCTCCCCGTGTTAGTTTTATAGCTTTTGTTACTGGGGATGCATGGATTTTATTTCAGTGCTTTGTGTTGTTTGTCTAGGGTGCTCATACCTTCTCAGTCCTCCTTCTTGGTGGATTTGTTGGGCGAGTCACTCATTGTAAATTAACCTTTTAAGGTATAAACTCTATCTTTTCGATTATAAAAAAACGCTTCAATTCATAGCATTTTTGTTTTACCCTTTTGAGCAAATAAGTTGTTAAGACAAAGATTTTTTTATTTTTTTTATTTTTTATTTTTTTTTATGGAACACCCCAGAAAGGTTAAGAGACAGATAAAGATGTTAACCAAACAACATTGTATATATATGAAATCGATTTTCATTTGATTTATTAGATAAATTGAGTTAATTTTGAATAAAGTTAATTGATTTAAGGATTGAGTGATATTTTGAGTTTTTATTCAAATAATATTTAAAATGTAATAATTAAAATTGATGAGATTTAAAAATATATGAGTAGATAGATAGTAAATTAAAGTTTATGTGATATGACGTATGACTTGTTGATATTATTTAATTATATTGATAATATTGAGTAAAATTATATTGGTTAAAGTTAAGTTGAATTTTGAGTTAAATAGTATAAAAAAATTATCCCATAAATTAAAACTTAAAACAGTATTATATGTCAATCGTCCTTAGCATTTCTAAAAAATGTCAAATTCCACATGCTCTGATTTTAAATAAACCGAATGCTCTGATTTGTTGTTGTGGATAACGTTGTTATCCAAACATAACAACAGTATTATTATTAATTCTTTTATTTTTTGTTCTAAGTTTTATAATCAATCATCTCTCAGCTTTTAATTCCAAATCCCCAACACTGTAGTCATATAGGAGCCCTATCCCCTATTAGAGCCCGCTGATTAGTCAATCCCAAACGTCTCGGATCCACGATTGTTCAACTCACAACCGTCGTAACTCTCAATCCAACGGTTAGACGTTTAGGCTATTTGCATCTCAACTACACTGCCATTTTTGTCTCCTCAAATTGGAGTACCTTGCTGCTGAGATGTGTTGAGTATTTCTTGTTTCTTTCAGGGATTTGCCCTAGGTTTTTACTCCCCAATTCCTCCTTATGTCCGATTTCTCCGCCAACTTCACTGTAACAGGAATTGACTAGAAGCTATCCATGAGGAAGAGTCCACCGACCATTAGATTGCTTCCCTCACCTGATAAGGACGTTGAATGCGGCTGATTCTGGAGCTTCGAAGATCCGCTGCTGCATAATCGGCCGCTTTCTTTTACGGTGAGTCTCGCAATGGTCGGTGGGACCTCTCCCATAGCCTCTACGTCTATTCCTGTCGCACTGAAGTTGGCTATAGTCTCTAAGCTCCTCAAATCTGCAAACATAGTCATTATATGACCCCATGTGTTTGAGTTATTTAAGTTCTGCTAAAGTCCTCAAGCCTTGTGAAAGAATTTCCAAAACTGCATGCAGTGTAGCTCAAAATGACTGAGATTTGATACCACACATCTACTTCCTTCAAAATGAATGGAAGCCATTTTTTATTTTCCGGCTATATGATATATTGGTTATCAACTGAAAATAGCGAGAACATTTTAATATCCAACACCAGGTTGGAAGCTGTCAAAATGGGGAAATTCAATTTCGAGTATGAGTTGATGAAGTGTCTTGCTGCGTGTTCAATTTGTAGCTTAGTTTCTTTTGGCTATTTTGATTTTTGTACACATTAAGTTCCATACCTTGTGTTGAAAAAGGACTACCCAGTATAGATCCTTCTTCATTAGATCCCTTGCTCTGGTTGATATTGATTTATTGAATATATCTGAAGCTGATGTTAGATGGCTGCAATAGTGTTGGATGGCTGCAATAG